TTGGGGGAGAATTAAAAGGTGGACAGGGGATAGGAGAGTGACTGAATGCTGGCTTTTGCTCTGAAGACAGCAAGGTTTGGCTTATGATTTTCTTGGCATTTTGAGACAAGCAGCACTGAAGTGTTACTTTTCAACTTATTCTTAAGAATTGGGAGTAATAGTAGAGAGGGCATGAATATGCTGACTGTGAGAGAGAACAAACTTCTAATACTTTGCTATGGGATTGGTGATTAAAAACCAGACTCCAAAATCATCGGGAAATAAAAGTAGCTTTGAATTGCACTCAGTAGGAACTGTAAGGATTCACTCTTGAAATAGTGTCCTGACAACTGAAACTAATTCACTATCAACAATCATGAAAAGGTGGAGATGGTTGCAACTGTGATCTACACTGAGGACAAGGACTTGCTTATAGACCATGTACTTGTCTCTCTCCAGCTGCTCTTCTCTTTGCAACTAACTTTGCATGGGAATTGGGAAGACATGGGGTGGGGACAGTTAGTGAACAGCTGCTATTTGGTTCTAGAGCTTTTGATAAAGTAAGAAGAATATACAGTCCACCACTTTCAGATGAATTTGCAGAAGAATGTGCAGTAGGTTTTAAACCCAAGGACTCCAGTACTGATTGCTCTACTTGATAAAGGAACACTGACACATACTCACAGATAAAAACATGAAAATCCCAAGGAGGAGGAAATACATGAGTGTGAGTTTCATCATGTTGAATACCTGCCAGGAGAAAAACCAAGAAACATTTTAGCCAGAACATCTCTCATTTCTAATTTTCCAGTTCAATTCAATTCAGTTTCAATTTTATTACAGCCTTTAACCAGCAAGTAAAACAGAGATAAAAGAGAGAGGAAAAGGAATCAAAATAAATAAAAATAAGGATATACAGCAATCCATCTTAAATCCTACTATAAATCTCCTGTGAAGCCTAATGCTAAATGAACCAAACATTGGAGGTTGTATAAAAACCTTGTCAGCAAGCAGAAAATCAACACAGGAACTGACTGATTGTCTGGGGATTGCTGATAGAAGGAGAAAAATAAGATTTTAACGTAATATTGTATAAAACCTGCAATGTAAAAGAATGTGTGTTACTGATTCTAACTCTTGTGAGCCACAAGGAAAAGACAATGAGCCATGGGGAGTTTAAAATATCTACTGTAACCGTGCAGAAGGAAGGGCATTACAATGTTCCTGGTAAAACAAAACAAAAACTCAAGGTAATTTGAGTAAGTTAGGGAGTAAATGTAGGGAGCCATGCCTCTTCAAATAATTGTGTTTCATAATATACACTCTGTTCAAATTATACTGCAGCTCAGTTTCAAGTGATAATTGGGCAATCAGGTTTTTAGCCCTCGACTAGCCAAGGTTACATAAAATGGTCTACAAAAGGCCACATGAAAGGAACATTTGCTTAAAGGACTTCTTCCAAGTGGATCGGAAAGTATCACTTAAAAGAGAGTAGAACAACTCAGTGGGTTGTTTGATAGGCTGAAGCCAATAATTAGTACTAATTTCCCAGTTCACTGTGGGGCATGGATTTCATTGCTGATTGAACAGAGAGAATGGAATCAGTGGCTTTTCAGATGGTGTGGACTCCTTTTCCAATCATCCTGATCTTTGCTCATGCTGGCTGGGGCTGTTAAGAATTGGAATCCAAAAACATTTGGATCTAGATGGTCACAAATTCTCATTGATAGAGTTTATTTTATAAACAAGGGGTTCCTGTTCCCTTTTCAGCCAGAATGATCTGGCTTACTTATAGCACAGTTTCTGCGGGCATTCAGATTTGGAGCTGGACCCTTGCAGAAAATGTAGAACCTAAGGAAGGCTAAAAGTTGAGTGTCCCTATGCACAGAAGAACATAGTATACATAACTTATTTAAAAGTTATTTAAATTAATTTCAACAATTAATGTTGCCTGCTAACAATTAATTAAGCATTCCGCTATATCATTACACTATTTTCCCTGAACTGAGCAGGAAAGCACAGTTTTTAAGCTTTCCTTTTCACTTATTTAACCAGTAGGATAAAGACATGCCCGAAGGAAACTTTGGTTAGATTTCTGTCACTTTACTGAAGCAAGCATTAGTGAGATCATAGTACTGGACACTGTCAGTATCTTAAGCTCTTAGGAGATGGTCATTCTACTTGCCACATGGTAGCCCAATAGTAAAAAGGGTAGAATGGGACTAATGTCACAATCTGGCTCCATAATAAAGTTTATGCTACAGAATGACTTTCTAATAAATGAGCACATGCACAGATACACATGACATATCATTCAAAAAGATTTCTTACTCTTTACCCAATGTTATATGAACATTAGGACAGCAAGGGAAATAGAGAAAAGTGATTATTTTCCTCTCCCTCTGCTTTAAAATTAAAAAATACTGTATGTTTCCTCACTACTGCAGCCTTAGATATACGTTTGATTAAACCTTGCTTACAATGTGGTAGAGCTGTTAATAGGGGCCAGCCAGCTAAATTTGCTTTGAAGCTCCTGCAACTTGTGAATCGGCCTTCCTACCCTATGGCTGCCCTTCCTCATGAAGCACAAGCTCTCTGGTACAGCTGATGTGGTCTCGTACATGCCCATGTTGCTACTAAAGATACATGTTTCTTTGGAATCTGATAAGTTTAGCATGAGCATGCCCACTTTCTCCATAGGAAATCGTTCAAGACTTGCACATTATAACAGAAACAGCATCCTGCTTTTAAGAAACTTGGATGATGTAGTTCAGGTGCAAAGAGATGACCACCTAGCTATTACAGAGAATCACCATGCTCCCTTCAAATCCAGTCTTTGTCTCATGCAAGTAAAAGGTACTATAATGACCAGCCTATGCTTACCAAATGCATCTTTGCCGCAGTTCCTTAACAAAAGTGGTGTTCTTTTCCCCAAGACTATCCTAAAACAGATCCATGAGATGTTCTTGCCAAAGCTCTGGAATCAGGTAGTTACGGAAAGTATTGCTTTTAGACAGGGAAGCAGACCCAGCCAGGATGAACTGCAGGGTTTGGTCTTAATAACACCAAAATAGCCTCTTTGTTTTTAACCACAGTATTTCTCATGAAAGATAACTTATAATTATCTCTGTGTTTATTGAACACATTCTTCTGCAGGTCAAGTCTGAACTGCAACACTGCTATTTCTTTGAGAAAACAATTACTCAAACATAGAAAACCCTGGTATGGGTTCAAATATGCCCTCACAGTGTTGAATTTAGAGCAAAAATGGCTTTTGCTAACCTGCTGCCTCCAGAGGAGTTGGACTGCAACTCCCATCATCCTCAGTCAGAGGGAGGATTCTAAACATTTGTGGCTCCTAGAAGCTATTGACTAGGTTCTTTCCTCATTATCCCCAACTGTTATTGATTTGTTTGTTTTACTCCCCTTATTTTTCTTTGTTGCTCCTTTATTCTACTTCTGCATGAGTAGGGATGACTCTGAGCAAGGTATTTTAATAACTTGGAGTGTCAGCTTTCTCAAAAGAACTGCAAGTTGTGTAGAACTGCAAGCAAGCAAGCAAGCAAGCTTTCTCAGTGGTTCATTTGGGCTCCAAAGGCTAAGAGCATCCAGCTTTCTGGTTCACTGTTAATGGGAGTCTGGCTTGTAATAAAGTGGTGCAGCAATAAGGCTTCTTATTCCATGTTCCAACTAGCCATCTGCCAAACCCAATCTTTTTTTCCGCTGGAAGTTTATTTCCCACCTTTTAGTAAATAATCCTGTAGCTATTCTTTGTGTTGGTTTGTTTGACTCTTTAGGATCTTGTTCGCTATTTTTCTTCTACCAATCTTAGGGTTCCACTATGTATGCTGATAGCTCCATTTCTACTTAATGCCCCCTCTTTTAAGCATCCAGGTCATAGTCTTGGGTTGGCTTTTAGCATTCCAAGTGGAACCTACAAAGCATAATGGCAGAGTACAGTGATTTTTTCATGGAGGCCTCCTGCCATACCTTCTAGGAAACTCCATTTCCCTTCCCTCTCTTCCTCCTTCTCCCTTCCTCCCATGATGGCCAGTGAGACCACTGAATGTTTGCAGTCCTCACCATATTTTAGGTTTCTCTCCCCACCCCAGATTAACTGATTGATTGCTACTTCTGTAAATCTCGGGGTTACCCAAGCCTACTGATACCTCCCTTTTAAGCAGAAGACACTGTTTTGGGTACATAGAAATTGGCTGTCAGAGAAGGTGTTTGCTCTTAATATATAACAATGCATCTATGTCTCAGCAATGCTTGATAATTATAGCTCTTCCTGGATGAGGGTTTTGCTATTGCTGTGATTGCTTAATATCTGTTGATCAGGCTGTATGTTTTGCATACAGGTAGCCCCCAGTTTAAGAATGAGTTCTGTTCCCAAGGTCTGTCCTTAAGTCAAATTTGTATGTAAGCTGGAACAATTTTATTGTATAATACTGTATGTCATATTGTGTAATGAATTCGAACCATTGTGTATTTAACTTGAATTTTGCTACAATAGGCTCCATTCTTAACTATGGGTCACTGTATGTCATATTGTGTAATGAATTCGAACCATTGTGTATTTAACTTGAATTTTGCTACAATAGGCTCCATTCTTAACTATGGGTCATCTGTAACCCGGTGTTCTTAAGTGGGGACTACCTGTATTATTTTATGCTCTGATGTAGGAAGACAATGCCATCAGACTAGAATCCTTAATTGGCACCAGTTATTTCACTGGCCAGGGAATGCTAAGGAAACGGGGCAGGAGAGGCATCACAAATGCTATATTTCTTCTCTCTTTGCCACTATCATTTTGCTTGCAGGCATTCTGTCCTTTGCTGGTTGTCAGAGCTCCCTTTCTTAAATTGAGGGTGAGAGTTCATTTCTCAGTAACTGGTACATTAACTTTCTGGTTGCTGAGTCAGAGAGAGGGAAGCCACACCTGCGACTTTAGCTGTGCAGGGAGTGGTTTGACGTGGAATCAGATTAAAGCAGTCTTCTGCCCGCCTTGTTCCTGTCTTGATTAAGTTCTTAATTCTGGAGACTACCTTTCTGTGTAAATGCAGCCAAGTTGGTTCCTGTTTTTCTCAGGTTGTTATTTAGGCTTTTTTTTCCTCCATCCTTGCAGGAAGTCCGAGCTAAAATAAGGCTGCAGCCATTAGGGCCGTAATTGCCATGTGGAGAGCCAGCACTCCTGCTGTGTTTCTAGGGTGGGGATAGATTTGTGCCTCCCCTTCAGCCATTCATGTGTGCCCGGACAAGTGGCAGAGAGTGACGTGCTCCTCTCCCACCAGGGCCAGCTCTGATTTATGCCAGGAAGCCTTTTCCAGCCATGCTGAAGCAGATCCTGTCAGACATGTATGTGGACCCAGAGCTCCTGGCTGAGCTCAGCGAGGAGCAGAAGCAAATCTTGTTCTTCAAGATGAGGCAGGAGCAGGTCAGAAGGTGGAAAGAAAGAGAAGCAGTGGCTACTGCCTTGAAGCCAGCCCTGAAAAAAGGTCGGTGTATGACCAATTTCCTTCCTTATTTCTTGTCCAGAGTTTTATCCTATTTTCCAAGCATTGTTCTCAAGATGGTTTGCCACAGCATAAGCTTTGATGATGTCGTTGAATGAAAAAGCAATACCTTGTAGCTTTAAATGATGTGTGCTTTTAGATTAATCTTTAAAGTAATCTGCTGATCAGGCAGGTGAGTCTTCCTCCTAAATTGCAAGAATGAAGTGAGCCAAAGGTGAGACTGATTAGCAAAGTTAAGCAATGAGTCCCTAGAAGAGGTAAGATTTGACAGGAGAACTTTTTTGTGGCTGCTTCATAGGGAGCATCCACGTGGCACTACTTCTGGTCCTCATCCCTCTTAAATACTTTGAAGCAGACCTGTCAATCATCTTCACTCCTTCTTACTGCAGGACACTGAGAATACAATGAGCCAGTTCAGCTGGCCAAGAGGAGCCTGCAGAAAGAATAGGGAGCTCTCCACCTTGGCTACTTCTGGTGCAATAAAAAAATCCCTTCAGAAAAAGGAAATGATATAAATTGCTAGAATTGCCCCTACATATTCCAGCACATGTGTATGTTAAGGTTTTTGTGGAAGGGTGGGGGGGAGAAGGAGTATTTGTAATGAGGTGAAGCTTTCTGGCTACCAAGCTGTCATTCTTTTCATATGAAAAACCCCATCAATTGTGGTACGATATTATGTCACGCATGTTGCAACCAAGCACTTTTCTCAATGCATCAAACTGGATTGTCAGTTGCAGCAACAATTGAAGTGGGGGAGAAGGATATCCCATAGGGGTGGTCTTAGAGTATGGTAAAAAATGTCAAGATGGCAACCACGATAATGTGATTGAAGCTCCATGATGCACATAAAAAACAGGCAAAGTTTTGGTTGTATCATCATGGTTGCAACTTTTTTGACCATACCCTCCAGACACTTTTGAAAATCCAAATTCCCTCACACTATAATGACCACCCCTCCACCCAAAATGGAAAGAGATTTTTTTAAAAAAATAAGCAGCCTGGTACTTTGCGTACAACACCTATGGTAGAGACGGGGTCAACCCAAACCCTTCTCCCTTTCATCCCTGCTGATCAGTCCAGCATTCTCCTCCAAGCCCCTGCTAGGGTGGCTGAAACTCAGGAACTGGAAGGAGGGGTGAACAAGGTCCCCTCCAACAGAGCAGTGGGCCCAGTTCTCTAAAAACTTCTTCCTTTCTTCAGGTTACACTTCAGCAGAACCAGAAGTAAAATGACCTAACTGCCAAACATAGCTGCTTTTGTGAGTTGATATACATCCAGAGCTCTTTTTTAACTGGCCAAGTCTTCACAGGGGAGTTCCCTTAATAATTAACTAAATTAAGTCTCCAGTTGTTGAATCATAATCTTTACTACCAGGTTGATCTAATCTCAGGAGTTTTTTTAGGGGAAGAAATTTCTCTGCTGTACTTCCTCTGTATTGCCTCATGGACATTGCTCCTAATTGTGGCAGGAACATGCTCTGGCAATCTCTTTTCTCCACCACATCCCCATGACTTTGTCTGCATCTCATCCCCAGACCATGAGTGGGAGAGCCTTAAGATGTCTTACCTCAGGTTGTGGATTTCCCCCTTTATTCTGACACCCTTCAAGGACACCCTCAAGCTCTATGAAATTGGTTAGCCTTCATCACCCATGACTTTGCAGGAGAATCAGGTGATGGAGAACAGGAATAATAAATACAGGCAGCATAGGATCAGCAATGGGACAACAAATACCATGGAAGTATAGTTTTCTGCTGAGTCCAGTGTGGGTGTCTATCCCTTTAACCATGGGGAGAGGATCTTCCTTAGCCTTCCTTTGCTTAAGGCTCCATATTGCTCTGTTTTTGAAGGTATTTGACTGCTAACTTTTTTGGCATTTGGGTCACATTTAGCAGGATAACATCTGCTTAAACAATTCCAAAGTAACAGCTCTGCTTTGGTTGTATTCTAAGACCATAACAGATTATTATTTGTTCTTTGCAGAAAATATATTTGGGTGTGTTTGTTTACGCTTGAGTTACAATGTACTATAACAACTATGCACATTTCAATATCCCATTTTTACAGATATGCTGATTCATACAAATAACATTGTCATGGTGACTCAGCTCAACCAGATGGCAGCCCTACATTATATCCCAGGGCACTGGGATAGGTAGGAAGGAGCCTACTATGAATTCCTTCTTTGTGGATTTTTAAAATCTTTGTTTGAATGATAACTCTGGATTTCTTAAGTTGATTTTAAAGCATGTCTGTACTTGCTTTGCCAGTTGTTATTTCTAACTACTCCATTATCCTATTTACCTTACACATCAACACAAGAGATGGCCAACCTGGAAGATGCTGCTTGGTCTGCACAAATGATTACCACTATAGATGTCATAAGATCATTCCTGTCTGCAGGAATGTCTATGGTGATAGAAAGGAGATGGCAGCCCCATGATTGAAGCCCTGCCCCTTTTTTTACATGCAGGGTTTTGTTTGTGCAGCAGCGGACCCTATCTTTACTTTTTTGACACCTACACCTCACCTGGATACTCCTGCCTGTTTGATAGATGTTTACCAATCATAGTTCTTCTGGTATAAACTTTGTGCAGGTTTACAACTGTTGTGTGTCTACATCCTTCCATATTAAATCTATGTTATTAAAATATGTTCCTGTCATATTAATAGGTATGAAAGGGAGAAGTGGAGTTGGGAAAGAAAGTGAAGATTCACTGAACATGTAATTCTTTAATTAAATAAAAATTTGTAACACTATACTGAAATATTTCAGTAATTTAGCACAACTTAAAAACATTTTTTGTAATCTGTGCTAATAAAATGGCCTTGTCTGGAAGAGTAACAGTGGAAGTGATGTAGCTGCTACGTCCTGTAGCTACTGCTTGGGACTTCCCAAATACACAGGTCAACCTAGTCCTAACCAAAGGCCTGTCTAGTCTAGTTTTCAATTCCAACAGTTACCAAAAAGATGCCTATGTGAAATCAACTGAGCAGGACCCAAATTGAAAACTACCCTTTCTTTTATGTTCTCCAGCTCTTATATTAAGAATCCTACTGTGTCTGTTACTGAAGGTAATATCAATGGTCACCTGATGGCCTCAGGGCACTTGCAGTAGTGGATTCTGTGTCAGTTTGAAATCAGCTCATGTTCCCATGAGGTTGCCAGTGTTAAAAGGCTAAGTTGATCTTTGTTGCAGGTTTGTTTGCTGATAAGGATGTGGGTTTTTTCCTCCATTCCACTCCTGAGCTTTAGGACTTGTAAGGGCCATGACTTATGTCTCCATTTCTGTAGCCCAGAAAAAAATAAAAGTCAAATTTAAATGTTTTGTCCCCTTCTTTTCAGTCTGGAACATGTTATTTTTTTCAGTGGAGTGGACGGAAGTGGAGTTGGAGGAGAATGTTGTCACTGCAGCAGCATCGGTTGTGGCAGTGATTTTTGTTCCGATTTCTCAGTGTTCAGAAGTAAAGATGATTAGAAACTGCCTTCAGATTGCCTGTAGAAATTTTAGGAGTTTGGTGGTGAAGAAGGAAGTGCCCTTATGTTTCATTCTTTTGTGGAGAATTGGAGGAGTTTCTACAGACTGAAAATCAATGCATGAGGAAAACACAGATAGTGATATAATACTGACAATATTTTTTTTAAGTGATTATGTGCATCAAGTTGTTGACTCTTAGTGTTTATGTAGATTTTCTCTGTGATGAAATGTGCCAGTTCCACATAAAACACCTTTAAACAAAATAATAGTTGACCACGTTGTACGAAGTGGGATGGTAAGGAAAGGAAAACACATCCAGATGGAACTGAAAATTCCAGCCAACAAAGAGCTTCAGCTTATTCAAATGTTTTATCTGTAGTCTTGCTTCAGTCACAGAGTGCAGCACTTCAACACACCAAAGAACATTTTGAGTTTGCATTTCCTATTTGGAAGTCATTGAGGGGACTTTTTAAAAAAACTGTTGTGATAGTCAAATCAAAGTATTTTATTTAGGTCATTGACCAGTCTTATGTATCATAGAACATGGAAGTTGTGGTATAAAATGGGACCTGTTTGGATCTCCCCCCTTAAGATGGCCTTGGTTAAGTTAGAGGGGTTCCTCTCTACCCAAGTTCATGAAGAAGCTTTGAACATACTTTGAAGTAACTGCTGAGGTAATTGAGGGTTTGGATAATAGTATTTTGCAGGGCTAGCAGCTGCCTGAATGTTTAATTAGATGTTAAGTCTGTAAACCTTGCTCATTTTAACTAACAACTCATACTATATTTGTTACAGTATGAATGCTGTTAACTGGCATAAATCAAGATTACTGCTTTCTATTACTCTGGGTCTGTGGATGGAACCAGGAAATTATGAGTACAACCTCAGTATTGTATACGCTTATACAAAACCAATACCATCTGTTAAGATGCATGTATAAACTCCTATGTAAATATGACACAGAGACAGAACAAATAAAAGACAGTATGATAAAACACAACAATGGGAACAATTATAGACCAAATTCATAAAATTTACTCCAAGCTACAATCTAAAAGAAAATTGGTACAAAATGTTAAAAATTGGTACACAGTTCGATTAATGATGTCCAAGATAGACAAATCATACAGCAACAAGTGTTGAAAATGCCTTGAAATAGAAGAAACATTTTACCACATGCAAAAAAACTCAAAAGTACTAGTACACTATATATATAGTACAATGCAGAAAATTTTGGAAATTAAATTTGAAATGAAATCACAACTTTTTTTATTGGATAGAATCCCGTAATATATCAACATGAAATATCAAAATTTACTAAGATACATGCTCATAGCAGCGAGGAAAAATTTTGCCCAACATTGGAAGAAAGATACAGTTCCTATGATATCTGACTGGGAACTTAAACTTGGAGAATATGCAGCCATGGCAAAATTAACAGCATATATCTATAACAGAAGCTTAACCAATTCAAGCAAGAATGGTTCCTGTATATACAATATATTATGCATCGTGGCAAATATAAATACTTACAGTAAGGCTTCTAAGGGGACCTAAGTGCTTATAAATACCGCAAATTGGTAGAGGTGCAAAAGGAGGAAGTTAGAAACCCAGCAGCTTTTTTTTTTTCTGCCCTTGTAGTTTTTTTTATTTTGTTTTGTTTTCTTTAAATGTATAATCAATAATAAGTAACAATATAGTAGAGACTTTAGTACTACGTATTAAGCTTAAGGCAGAAAGCTTTATTGTGTAACAAACAGTTTGATGTATTTTGCAATTGTTTATTAATGTCACATTTATCTTTGGATGCAAAATTTAATATTGATATAAACTTCTCTATCTCTAAAGGTTTAAGTCATCTAAATATTAGAATTTAGCCATTATTGGATAAATACCACTGTATTCAACTAATATAGTGTACTACTTGTGCTTTATAATAATACAACTTTAAAAGAAGAATAAATTATACTTGTTTACACACACACACACACACACACACACACACATATATATATATGTTGCCCTTGATTTTACAAACGGCTCGTTCCTAATTAAGTGCTAGAATTTACTTAGTAATTCTGTTATTTTCATAATAGAATTACAAATTTCTGGCCTGAAGCAGCTCTAGACAAATTGGTTCCCTAATTAATCAGCTGCCAAGCTGTGCTGATAGCACTCCTGAGACAGATACAGTTTCTCGGCGCTGCCATGTCAGATGTTCTTGAAAGGGAGGCCCCACCTACGGGCACAAGCAATTTCTAGGGGAACCAGAAATTCCAGCGGGGAGAGCAGAAAGCAGTCATACCGTAGCTTCCCTGTAGGCTGCACCAAGCTCATCCTCTTGGCCTCCTCAGCTTTCAGACCCTTTTCCCTCTTCTCTCTCTCTCTCCTGCATTCAAGGATAACTGT